AAAAACTTGTGGAAGTGAATATTGAAAACTAAAAATAAATAAATTTATATTAAAAAAAGTCTGGTGAAGTTTTTGTACCCCTTCTCAGAATTTTTTTAATAATTTAAGGAAATATTAAATATCAACTAGAGGTTAGTGAAAATAAAGATGTAATTTTTCCCATCTACATGGACCACCTGAAATCTATCCATGGATGCCTGGGGGTTTACGGACCCTAGATTAAAAATCCCTGCCTTGCAAGAAAAGATAATAAGAGATATTTCATTTAAAATAACTATGTTACTGTATAAAGTACCTGGGAGAATACTTTCTAAGACAAACGCAAGAACTATATACACATAATTACAAAATGCTTTTCATACAAATAAAGTCAGATTTAAATAATCAGGAAAATATTAATTATTCAAGAGTGGGCTGACAAAAAAAAAAAAACAAAAAAAAGTCATAGGGGCAGCTAGGTGGCACAGTGGATAGAGCACCTGCCCTGGATTCAGGAGAACCTGAGTTCAAATCTGGCCTCAGACATATAACATTTACTAGCTATGTGACCCTGGGCGAGTCACTTAACCCCATTGCCTAACCAAAAAAAAAAAAAGAGTGGGCTGAGCCAATATAATAAAACTACTGTTCTACCTGAACTAATCTACTTGTTCAATACCATCCCAATTAAACTACCCCAAAATATTTTATTGAACTAGAAAAAAAATGATAACAAAATCATTTGGAAGAACAAAAGGTCAAGAATAGCAAAGGAATTAATGAAAAATATAAAGGAAGATGGTCTAGCAGTACCAGATCTTACAACGGTACTATAAGGTGATAATTATCAAAACTATCTGGTACTGACTAAGAAATAGAGTGGTGGATCAGTGGAATAGAGTAGGTATACAACACACAGTAGTAAATGATTATAGTAACTTCATGTTTGGTAAACATAAAGATCTAAGCTTTGGGGGTAAGAACTCATTATTTAGTTAGAAAAAATGCTAGGAAAACTAGAAAGCAGTCTGGCAGAAACTAGCTACAGACCAATGTCTTACACAAGGTCAAATGACCTAGACACAAAGAGAAACACAATAAGTAAATTAGAAGAACATGGAACATAGTTCCTATCAGATTCATGAATAGGAGAAGAATTTGTGAATAAATAAGAGACAGAGAGCATTGTAGGATGTAAAATGGATATTTTGATTACATTATTAAAAAAGGGGGTTGTACAAATAAAATTGATGTAGCCAAAATTAGAAGGAAAGCAGAAAATTGGGGAGGGGGGCACTTTATGGACAATTTCCCAGAAAAAGGCCTTCTATCTCAAATATATAGAGAACTGAGTCAAATTCATAAGAATATATATCATTCTCCAATTGATAAATATCAAATCAAAAGATATGACAGGCAGTTTTTGGAAGAAGAAAACATAGAGGGATAGATAGATAGATAGATAGATAGATAGATAGATAGATAGATAGATAAGATAGCCACATGAAAAATTCTGTAAATCGTTATTGATTAGAAAAATGCATATTAAAACAGCTTTGAGGTATCATCTCACACCTATCAGATTTGCTGAAATGATAGAAGGGGAAAATGACAAATGTTGGAGAAGATGCAGAGGAATTGGGACACTAATGCATTGTTGGTGCCATTGTGAACTGATCCAACCATTCTGGAGAGCGATTTGGAACTATGCCCAAAGGGCTATAAAAGTATGCATACTCTTTCATCCAGCAATTTCAGTACTAGATCTGTATCCCAAAGAGATAGAACAGTTGAAAAGGACCTATTTATATAAAAATATTTATAGCAACTCTTTTTGTGGTGGCAAAAAATTGGAAATTGAAGGGATACCTAGCAATTGGGGAATGGCTGAATAAGTTATGGTATATGAATGGAATGGAATATTATTATGCTATAAGAAATGACAAGCAGGCTGATTTCAGAAAAACCTGGAAAGATTTACATGAACTGAAGCAAAGTGAAGTGAGCAGAACCAGAACACTGTACACAGTAAAAGCAACATTGTATGATAATCAACTGTGTGTGACTTACCTGTCCTCAACAGTACCATGATGCAAGGCGATTCTGAAGGAAATATGATAGAAGATGCCATCTGCCTCCAGAGAAAGAGCTGACGGAGCCCAAACGCAAATCAAAGCATACTACTTTTCACTTTTTTTATTTTTCTCAGGAGTTCTTTTATCTGTGTCTTCTTTCACATCATAACTAATACGGAAATATGCTTCACATGATTACATATGTATAACTGATATCAAATTGCTTACCACCTCAGGGAGGGTGAAAGTAAAGAAGGAAGGGAGAGAATTTGGAACTCAATTTTTTTAAGTAATATTAAAATTGTCTTTACATGGAATTAGAAAAAATAAAATATTTTTAAAATGAATGCTAAAGATTGGTTTTACAGGTAATTGAAAAAACAAAATTTTTAAAATTTAAAACCAAAAAAAACCAAATGGATAAAAATGTCTAGCTTTCAGATTTGAACATGTAGAATATGTCATCAATATGGACTTGTCTGTATGTAGCTGGGATAGATATTACCAATGAACAATGAGTTGGGCCCAGAACTCAAGAAGAGGAAGAATGTAGGTTGAATTTTCTTTGGGAAAATACAAATCTGCTTTCATGACCCCATACTTCTCCCTGGAACAAAGACTCATCTTTTTAATATAAATTCTCTGATATCCTCTGATCTAATATCAAGTAATGCCAGAACAACTCTTTTGGAGGCCGTGGCAACATTAACATCATCACAACATTCTTAAAGCACTTCACATTCATTATCTCATTTGATTCTCACAACAACACAGGGAAGTGAGTTCAGGTGCTATTATTATTCCCATTTTACAAAGGCAGAAACTGAGGCTGACAGAGGTCGTGACTTACCCAGGATCACACAACTCACGTCTAAGACAGAATTTGAACTCACTTCTTCCTGATTCCAAGCCCAGAGCTCCACCCACTATACTGTCTAGCTGCTCTTTGATCGTAGATATATATATAGTCTGCTGCTGGACTGTTCTCAAACCCTTTCCAGCTTGGCAGGACCTGCCAGAGCTTGAACTCCGTCATCTGAGGGCCTGAGAGCCCAGGAACATTCCCATGACCAGTGAAGCCCCTGAGGAGGGCTGAGAGAATCCTAAGGTCTCTGAAGTGGTCCAACCCGTGCCTGGATGGACTTGGGGTCAGGAAGACCTGAATTCACATCCTGCCTATGACACTAGCTGTGTAACTTCAGGCAAGTCACTCCACCTCCAGGTCTCAGTTTCCTCATCTGTAAAAATGGAGGTAACAAAACCTGGTGATCCTCCTTATGTAGAACTATTATGAGACCTAAGTGAGCTAATGTCTGTAAAGTGCTTGGCAAACTTCGAAGCCTTCTATGTTTCAGCTCTCATGTTTATTGTTAGTCCCTTCTAAGATGTCTCCTTCAAGTGATCATCCAGTCTCTCCCCTTGAATACCTCCAGGGATGGGGAGCTCTCTACCTCCAGAGGATGGGTTTTCCACTTTAGGGCAATTCTCATTGATAGAAATGAGCAGTAAGCAGTGGCCATAGATGGAGAGCTGTAAGGGAAGGGAAGAAGAAGGTAATAAGCATTTATTAGGCACCTACTATGTGTCAGATGCTTTTTTTAAAAAAATCTCATTTGATCCTCACAATGACTGAGTAGGTGCTGTTATTACCTCTATTTTACAGTTGAGGAAACAGAGACAAACAGGTTAAGTGACTTGTCCAAGGTCACATAGCTCCTAAGTATTTGAAGCTGGAGTTAAACTCAGGTCTTTCTGAATCTGGGCCCAGAGCTCTATCCATAGCATGACCAGCTGCCCGAGTCACACAGGTGAGAGTTGAACCCAGGTCCTCTGACTTCAGAACCAGTTTCTCTGTCTACCACAGCACTTGAACACAGGAAAGATGGCATTGGATTTGTAATTGAGAGATTTCAGTTCAAATGCACCTCCAAAAACCCTTATTAGCTGCATGACCCTGTTCAAGTCATTTAGACTCTGAACTTCTGTTTCCTCACCTGTAATATGGGAGTGACTCTGCCTGCATCATGGGGCTTACAAAGGGGTTAGGTAGAAAATGCTTTGCAGACCTTTGAGCACTATTGAAATATGACCTTGACTAAATTACCTAAGCACTCTGGGCCTCAGTTTCCTTATCTATAAATAAGAGTAAATAAGATGTCTCCCAGGATACTGAGAGAATGTATTCTGCAAACCTTAAAGTGCTATCAAAGTATGAAGTTATTTCCTTTTATAGATATTAAATCTGCCTCTTGGTAACTTCCCCTTATTGCCTCTGGTTCTGATGGCCGGGACTCCAATGAATAAAAATAAATGTAAAGTATTTCCTCTTTTTGATCCCCGCCACCCCTGGAATGTCTCAGGGGAAACCCCTCTCTCTGGCTCATTGGAGTCTGTAAACAAAACTGACTTCATGCTGTGGAAGCCCCAGGAGGGAAGAATGAGGACCAAAGTGGGTTAGAACGCCAGAAAGGAGTTTCCTAGAGAAACTAGGGAAATTTTTCTAATCAGAGCTATTTAAAAATGTGAAATTAGACTACCATGGGAGCCAGTGGACTCTGTCACCAGAGATGTTCAGCGGCACCTGATCACCAGCTGTCAGGAAAGTACTAACAGAGATTCCTGCATGAGATTGGAGGCAGAAATAGACCAGAGAATCCCGTATTTGGAGCTGGATAGGACCTCACAGACCAGCCAGTCCCTCCCAACCTTCATTTTGCAGATGAGGAAACTGAGGCACAGGCAAGTGAGGTGACTTGTCCAAAGTCATCGATGTACTACTATCTGAGGTGAGATTTGAACCCGAGTGTTTTCCCATGAGTCTTTACAGATTTTTAAATGCTCTGATTCTCAGAAAGATTAGGGGAGAGTAGACAGAAACAGGAAAACCAAGAAGGTGTCAGAGCCAGAGGGAGGTGGGAGCGGCGCTGGAGGCGGGGCTTCCTGGACAGGCAGACCACACAGTCAGAAGAATTTCCTTGGGGTGGAGCCTGAGCCCGGGGGAAGAAAGCGACGCCAAGGGGCAAAGCGCCTGAGACTCCAATCGGAGCGTGACATCCAGCCCGGGACAGACAGCGACTGACCGGTCAGGGACTTGGTGGGGCTCACAAGAGACCCGATGGCCCAGGCCAGCCCCCTGCCCCTCCCCAAGCTGCTGCTGCTGCTGCTGCTTCCTCCACACCTAGGAGCCGGTAAGTCAACCCCAGAGGGCCTCAGAAGTCAACTAGTCAAACCCACCCTGGCCTACCCCACCTGTCCCGCTCCCCCTGCCCCGATCCCACCCACCGGGGACTGAAAAGAGTCTGCTCCCTCCAGGTCAGCATACCCTTAAAGGGGCAGGAGGAGAGAGGAGTCAGATCCCCTCCCACACCCCGCTCCACTCCAGGGTCCCCCCCCATGCTTCCCAGGAGTAGAGAGATGAGACACACACACCCCCTGAGCCCTCCTGTCCTACTGCAGGGGAGCAAGGAGCCGGGGCTCCTAGGTCAGGGAAAGAGCGAGCATTCCCAGCAAGGTGGAGTTTCAGAATCAGTTTCACTTTCCCAGAATAACCTGGTGACAAAATGTGTGTCCTGAGAAGTGACCTGTCTCAGCTTACCCCTGACTCACCCCCTCTGCTGAGACGGTCCCTCCCCCATCCTTCCCTTCCCCAAGGCAGACCTAAGGCTCTTGACCCCACAGACATACACACCTGTGTCTGCGCGCCCACCCCACCCCCCCAGGAACGCTCATGCAGTCTTCCTTTCTCAGCACCATCATTCTTAAGATCATAGACCGAGGAGAAGGGTCCCCAGTGGCCATGTAGTCCACAGCCTCTTCATTCAATGCTCTGCCTTTCTGCGGGGAGGGCCCAGAGGAGCTTCTCTCTCACCTCCCCCCCTTCCCAGACAATTCTATGTCAGCACCACCTTCTTTCTTGGGCCTCAGGCACCGTGACTCCCCCCCTCAGGACCTCTCCATTCCTATTTGACTCCTGTCCCCCTCCGTGTCTACACCAGCTTTTCCTCCTCTTTCTCTCTGACCTCTCATGCCTTGATAACCTCCTGGCCTCCTTTGGACCCCCCTCCTCAGCATTTAATCCTCCCCAGTGTCCCTGCCATTAACTACCATAGAATGCCACAGGCCCTCAGGACATAGAAAAGAGAATGTCAAAGCCAGAAGAGACTTTGGAACACAGGACATCAGAGCTAAGAGGAACCTCAGAGCTTAGAATGTAGAACATCAGAACTAGGTGGGACCTTAGAATATAAAATGACAGTGCTGGGAGGAACCTCAGAACATTGAATGTGGAACTGGGAGGAACCTTAGAACATAGAATGTCAGAGGTAGGTAGGAGGAGCCTTGGGACATAGAATGTTGGGAAGGACCTTAGAACATGGAATGTGGAAGTGGGAGGGACCTTAGAATATAGAATGTCAGGGTTGGAAGGAGTCTTGGGACATAGAATGTTGGAAAGGACCTTAGAACATGGAATGCAGAAGTGGGAGGGACCTTAGAACATAGAATGTGGAACCAAGAGGGACCTTAGAATATAGAACATCAGGGATGGGTGGGTGCTTAGAACATGGAATACTAGAGTCAGGTTGGACCTCAAAGCATTGAATTTCAAAGTTGTGTCTTCTCTCCACCATTTTGGTCCCTGGTCCCTCCCCCTTCCCCCCATCAATGACAATCTCAGCCTGTAATACACTTTTCCTCTCTTTTCTTCCCAACCTCCACCCCTCCTCCCGCTCAGCCCCTCAAACAGTGCAGGTGAATGTGTCTTCAGTGGCTCGTGGTCTCCTGGGGGCAGAGGTGCGGCTCCCATGCCACCTGGTGCCTGGGGAAGTAGAAGTCCAGGTGTCCCAGGTGACGTGGCTACGCCATGATCAGACTGGTGGCAGCGTGAGCATAGCCGTCTTCCACCCAATCCATGGTGCTGGCTTCCCCAGCACAGGGCCTGGTGAGGAACGCCTGGCATTCGTCTCCCAGAGCCAGGGTCTGGGTTCGGAGTTCCAGGATGCTACCCTGGTCCTTCAGGATCTGAGGGTGGAGGATGAGGCCAATTATACCTGCGAGTTTGCCACCTTCCCTGGGGGGAACAGCAAAGGCACCACATGGCTTAGAGTGCTGGGTAAGTAAGAATCCAGGGGAAAGAAAGACAGGGGGCAAGTGAGGACCTAGGGCACCTGGAAGGCAGTCACTAGACTCTGGGAGGAGACTGGAGGGCAGAGGATGCCTGGGTCTGAAGAGGGGACTTCACTGGCTCTGCTGACCTCTCAGGACACCCTAAGACCCCAAACCTAGAGCTGAAAGGGGGCTTAGAAGCCTCCAAGTTCAATCTTCTCCTCTTACTTACATGGCAAATTCATGTCAGAACTAGCTGGAAACTTAGAACATGGGACACAGACTGTCAGAGCTAGAAGGTACCTTAGAATTTATAACACTAGTGCTGAGGGGAACCTCAGAACATAAAATGTCAGTTAGGAAAGGAACCTTAGAATATAGAATGTTCTAAGCTAAGAGGGATCTTAGAACATAGAACACTGAACATCAGAGTTGGGGACGGGGAGTTTCCCACAGCACACAACACAGAATTCCAAACTGGGATGGAGAAGGGCTCTTAGAACTTAGAATGTTAGAACATAGAATACAGACTGCTCAGACTAGCTGGAACCTTAGAACATAAGCTAAGAATATGGAATCTTAGGATTGGAAGAGGGCTAGTCTCACCTCCCCATTTTATGGGTGTAGAAACTGTGATACAAAGAAAGGGGTTAATTCACTCCCAAGCCCCACAATATCTCTTGGCTTATTCAGCTTCTCATCTCTCCCCAGCTGAACCTAAAAACCACATAGAGGCCCATGAGGTGACCTTGGGCCCAGGCTCCATGACCATGGCCACCTGTGTCTCCAGTGGGGGCCGTCCACCTGCTCGAATCTACTGGTCCTCTCCACCAGCTGGCCAGAGCAATGAGACCAGGACAGCAGGACTGGCCTCTGACACCTTCACTGTTACCAGCCGCTTGACCCTCATTCCTACAGCCCAAATGAATGAGAAGGAGGTCATCTGTAAGGTGGAGCATGAGACCCTCAGTGAGCCTGCCCTGCTGTCCATCACCCTGGTCGTGAGATGTGAGTGACCCTCTCCTCCCATGGACGCTGTCTCAGTTGTGAGCCCCAAGTCTATCTGCACCTGCTCCCCTGTGGGGTGGCCTATCCTTGCCCCCACTGGCATCTCCAAGCGTGCTGTCTAACCAGTTCCCCCCCCCAGTGGTCCACACTGACCCTACCCTCAACATTTCCCAGGCAGCATCTGCACTGATTCACACACACACACACACACACACACACACACACACACACACACACACACACACACATACTCTGCACCACCTCCCCCTGTCTATCCTGACTTGGGGCGCTGTCTGTACTGACTCCTCCCCTTGGACAGAATCTATACTAGCTGCCTGTGGGTACCATCTACACTAATACACACTCTGTATCCCATATGCTTTAGCTCCCTAGACACCATTGGTGACTGCCTCCAGGCCAGTATCTGTCTACAACAGCACCCCCAGGGATGGTCCAAGCTGATCCTCTGGAGCACCACAAACACTGAGTGTTCCCCTAAATGTTGCCTTTGACAATATTCACAAACTGTTGCTCACACTGACCCCCAAAACACCATGTACACCGGCTCAGCCTAGACCAGGACCTCTCCAGCTTTGTGTGGTATGTGTGTGTATGTGGGAACTGGATTGCATGCATGTGTGTGCGTGTGCACGTGTATACGTGCATTTACGTGCGTTTGCATGTGTGTACATGTGTGTGGTGTTTGTATATGGTGAGTGGATTGTGTGTGTGTGTATGTATGTGTGCATGTGTGTGCGTATGTTTGCATCGTGTGTGTGTGTGTGGTGTGTGGTGTTTCTATATGGTGAGTGGATTGTGTGCATGTGTGTGCGTGTGCATGTGTAGATGTGCATTTACATGCGTTTGCATGCGTGTGCATGTGAGGTGTTTGTGTGGGGGAGTTGATGTGTGTGCATTGTGTATGGGTGCATGTGGGTGTGCGTGTGCATGTGTTGTCTACACCAAATGAGTCGCCCACGCTCACTCTCCTTTGGCCCAAGCACCACCCACACCACACCCTGGGCCCACCCTTTGAACCAGTACAAAAGCCCTAGAACGCGGATGTTCCCCTAGATGCCCGCACATACCGCTCCTCCGCACAGTGCTTCTGGCTGTGAATCCTATTTCCTCCAGCCGAAGGTCCTGGAGATGCCTTGAAGATGGAGGATTGATTTTGTTTTCATCTCATTTGGTGCTTACAACTACCCTGGAAAGGAGGTACTATTATTATCCCCATTTTACAGATGAGGAAACTGAGGCAAACCTGGGGTAAGTGACGCCCAGGCTCACACAGCTACTACGTGTCTAAGGCTGGATTAGAACTCAGGTCTTCCTGCCTCCAGGTCCAGTGCTCTTTCCAAGGCCATTCAGTGAGCAAGTCCCAGAGATGGCATTCAAACCCAGCCCTCAAGCCCCCATCTCCACCCCCCACCCAGCAGTAGGTAGTAGTCACGTCTCTTTCTGAATGAGCCAGGCAGAAACATGACGAGGCAACATCTTTGCCTTCTGGGATTCTGAAAGAGCCTGGGGAATTTGTAGGAAGTGACCCTATAGTCTGAGCACCGCTGGCTTCTTTAAAGGGTCAGGCTGGGTTTTCAGGAGTAAAGTATGTGGTTTCCCACACTCACTTGGGAATCCCCAGGCAGGCCTTGGGACCGGAGCCAGGAAGAACAAAGCCAGGGATGATGTAAGTGCCCTCCTCCAGGGACTGAGCACCTCAGAATGATAAGCAAGGACAGAACAGTCCAACCTTGGCCCTAGAAAAACCCTCTCCCACCCCTACAATGGTTTTGGGGGGTCAGCTGAGGGGGCAGTGGGAGGAGCATTGGACTGACACCCAGGAAAAGCTCGGACTTAAAGGTCAGCTCCGAGGCTGACTTCAGCTTCTGCGCCTTATGAAAATACCAGAGGTTGGGTCACGTCGTGAGATGAAGGGCTAACGGATGGACCACCCGCCCCTTACTGTGCCTTGTTGAAGAAGAAAAGCGATAGCGCTGGTCACCTTAGGCAGAGCCACGGCAGCTGAATGCTGAGGAGGATGTGAACGAGAGGGTCCCAGGATGGGGGGTCTGGATGGGCAGGGAGTCACGCAGCGGACAGAATGGTGGACCTGGAGTCATGCTAGACCTGAGTTCCAATCCTGCCTCAGGCACTTTCTAGCCGTGTGACTCTGGGAATTTGAATCTCTCTGGACCTCAGCTTTCTCTTCTGTAAATGGAGATAATAACAACCCATCTCACAGGACTGTTTTGAACATCCGATGAAATAGTGCTTGTCGACTTTAAAGCCCTATATTAATGTTCATTATTAGCATGTTTTTATATTATTATTATTATTAATCTGCAAGGATGAGGTCAGAGGCCCATTGGAGCATTAGATGGGCAGTACAGATGGGCCTGGCCTCCCAGGGTTGCTGGGATCTCAAATGACAGGAAAAATGTCAAGGATCTGGCAACTCTTAAAATGCCGTGTAAATGTCGGCTATCATTACATGTGGTTGCAGGGGACACTGTGGGTCAGTAAGCCTCAGTCTCTCTATCTGTAAAGTGAGGGGATTGGGCGATGTGACCTCTGAGGTCTCTTCTGGGTCCAGATCTGAGTCCCTAGGACCCCACAGTTCTACAAGCACAACTTCCTGCCCCTCTGATGCAGGCCTGGCCTCCCCTCCCTTCCTCTCTCTCTCCAGACTCCCCTAAGGTCTCCATCTCAAGCCATGATGAAGACTGGTATGTTGGGCGAGAGAAAGCCTCCCTGAGCTGTGATGCTCAAAGCAACCCCAAGCCCACAGCCTACAACTGGAGCACGTGAGTCCTGGGCATGGACAGCTGGACACCTGGGTCCCTGGCTGGGCTGGGCACAGGGGTGGTGGGGTCAACTGTCTGAGACCCTGAGGGAACACCTGGGTCCCTAAGTAAAGGGGAAAAGATCATGGAATTTAGACCTGTACAGGATTTTAGCAACAATCGAAGAGAGGCCAGAGAGGGCAATGGATTTAGAGTCAGGGGTACTGGGTTCAAATCCTAGCTCTTTGTTTTACTATTTGTATGATGTCAGGCAACTTCTCTGGGCCTGAGTTTGCTAACCTGGAACACGAGGGCATTGGCTTTGAGGCTTTCCATGGGCACCTCTGGCTCTAAATCTATGACCCTACCATCTAGTTTGCACATAGCCACTTTACAGAGGAGGAGACTGAGGCTCGGGCAGGGTAATGCTTTGCCTGTGGTCAGAAAAATACCAAATAGCCATAGTGGAGATACCAACCCGGGTCTCCAAGCCCAGATGCAGCTCCCTCCTGGCTATGCCAGCCTGGGTCAGCATTACAGTGGGCTCTGCAAAGCAACAGGAGCTTGGGGCTGCCTTCCTGGGTCTCTGAGGTTGACAGGGGGATGGGAGGTCTTATATAACAGGTCTGAAGGAAGAAGCAAGATGCTTCACCAACCATTCTCTCTCTCAGGGCTTCCGGCTTCCTCCCTCCTACAGCTCTGTCTGATGGGCCCAAGCTCGTCATCCACCCCGTGGACTGGTCAGTCAACACCACCTTCATCTGCCAGGTCACTAACGCTGTGGGCACAGGATGGGCTAATCGAACCATCCATGTCAAAGGTGAGGGGGAGACACAGGGGAGGCGGGTGGGAGAGATCCTCAGAAAACAGGTGGGGAGCTTCTGGGATACATCCCTCTGAATATACTCAGCAGTGCTGTGGACCCATACACAGCCAGTGCATTCCCCTCCCAGCACCCTCTGACATTAAGAGGATTCTTGCCCAGAAGCTCTTCAGGGACTGGGTCACAGTACATAGGATCACAAAATCACAGATACCAAACCAGAAGGGACTCAGAGGCCATGTAATCCAGTCTCTTCATTTTCCATAAGAGGAAATTGAAGCCCAGGAATGTTGAGGGATTAACACACACCCCCTTCCTTCTCTTCCAGAGACACTGTCTTCCAAAGAATCCAGAGAAAAATTGGTGGGCACCGTGGTGGCCATCGTGGTAGGTCTGATTGGACTTGGCAGCATCCTGTATTGCGTGCTCACCAGGAGGTGCCCGGGTGAGTCACCCAGTCTCCTTCCCAGCAAGTTCCCTTCTCAGGGTTTGGCCCCAGCTGCCCACAGTTCCTGAAACCAAAGCCCCAGTGAGGGTGTGACAAGTATAGCTGAAGTCTGAGAACAGAACAGAGGATGGGGTGGGACAGGACTGGGATCCTCCGGCCCCTCATGGAGGTAGGGAAGGGAGCACAGAGCAGAATGTGGCGAGGAAACCAGGCCGGGTGAAACAGGAAGGGAGAGGCAGGCTGCAGGGACATACCTGGGGGAGGGGGTGGGTCCAGGGACCATCAGAGAAATGGAGGTGAAATCAGTCTTGTGGAGAGAATGGCTGAAGTAACAAGCCAGCAGATCCAGGAGCCACACCCTGAAATGCCGGGTGAGGCCACTGTAAACAAACACCCCAGTACAAACTTGCCCTCTCTGGCACTGAAAGATCCTTTAAACACCCTCCAAAAATTGGGATCATTCTCCCCCAGTTTACAGAGCTTGAAACTCAGAAGGGTTCCAGGGACTGGCCCACAGTCATACCGCTAGGACAGGGGATTCACCGAGATCAGCAGCAGGAAGGAATCCTAGAAGCCAAGTTCCTCATTTTACAAATGAGGAAACTGAGGCTTAAGGGAGTTTCATTGACATCCAAAGTCAAACAATTAGCAAGTGGCTAGACTATGATTCAGACTGAGGTCTCCTGAGGCCAAACTCAGGGGAGCAAAGACCAGAGGAGCCTGAGAATAGACAGCGTAAAGAGCTGGGAGGGGCCTGAGAACAGGGAATGTCAGAGCTGGGAGGGCCCTGAGAACGGGGGATGTCAGAGGTGGAAGGGCCCTGAGAACGGGGCATGTCAGAGCTGGGAGGGCCCTGAGAGCAGCAAATGTGAGAGCTGGGAGAGCCCTGAGAACAGGGGATGTCGGAGCTGGGAGGGCCCTGAGAGCAGCAAATGTGAGAGCTGGGAGAGCCCTGAGAACGGGGGATGTCAGAGCTGGGAGGGACCTTGGAAGAGAAGATGTCAGAGATGAGAGGAGCCTTAAAGATCACCTACCCAACACCCCCCCAACCCCCACCATTTGCCCAGTGTCATCTGTCAGCGGCAGTGCTGGCAGGAGAACCTAAGCTGGTCTCTCGACTCCCCAGCCGGTGTTCTGCCCTCTGAACTAAATAGTCATATATTCATTACTGCCTCTGCTCCTCCAGGTCAAGGCCGCCAGAACTATTCACCTAATAGGGTAAGAAGGAGCTGCTTTTCCTCCTTGGATGCAGGAAGAGGACAGAGGGCACTCTGCAGAGGGTCTGGCTGCAGCCCCAGGCCCATGCAGGGAAGTTGGGAGGGTAGTGGCTCAGGGAAGAAGAAGGAAGGGATGTTCGTATGTAGAAAGTAATTACCTCATGGCTCCCCTTCACTGGTCAGTCAAAAGCTTGTGTCTGTGTGTGTCTGTGTCTGTGTGTCTGCGTGTGTCTGCGTGTGTCTGTGTGTGTGTCTGTGTCTGTATGTGTCTGTTTCTATGTGTCTGTGTGTCTGTGTGTCTGTGTGTATCTGTGTGTGTCTATGTGTCTGTGTCTTGTGTCTGTGTGTGTCTATGTGTCTGTGTGTGTGTGTGTCGGGGGTAGGGATGTGGCACTATGGGCTATAGGACTACAAAGGACCCCCATGGGGGGGGCAGGGCCAGGAGCCCTATAAATGAATGACACCACATTGGTTTTTTGCAGCAAGTCTACACCTCAGTGGCCTGCACTACCAGTCTACCCAGGCCAACCCAGAATACTACAGCAGATGATGTCAACCAAAATGACAGACAGGCTCTACCCCAGTGACAGATCCCTCCCAGGCTCCAGACAAGTCTCCTCCCTACCCTGACATCCCTACCAAGGCTCTCCTCTCCTCTGACTGGTGCCCAGGGAAGGACAGCCCGTTGGGAAGAGCTCAGCCTGGGCATCAGGAGACTTGACTCTTTGCCCCTGCTGCCCTCTGGCAGGACTGCAGGACCATGAACAAGACCCTTCCTCTCTCCTGCCTCAGCTTCCCCATCCAGAAGAAAGAAGGGGCCAATCCACAAGCATCTGTTAAGCACCTACTCTATGTACCGGGGATTGCCCTCAGTTCTCAACTAGGTGTTCCCTAAAGTCCCTTCCAGCTCTTAAAAAAAAATCGATTCTTTTCTCTCTTCTCCTAATGGAGAGACAACATGTTGTAGACCTGGAGCCAGGAAAACCTAGGTTCAAGTCCTCCCTCAGGTACTTACAATCTGTGTGACCCTGGGCAAGTCAGTTCACTTCTGTCTGGGCCTCACTTTCCTCCCCTATGGTCTAGGTCCTAGACTCCAGGGGGTCCCTGCCAGCTCCAGTATTTATAATGATAATCGCAACCCCCCAATCTAAAGAGCTCTCCATGTCCCAAAGCAGAGAGGGAGGCCAACCTTATTCTTAAAGATGAAAGAACAGAAATCTGGCAAACTTTAAGCCAGTGAAGAAAAGAGAATTTGTACTGTTCCTTCCCTATCCTGATCTCCTGGAGGTTAAGCAGGGCAAATATTCTTAGCCCCCTCTGACAGAAAAGGAAACTGAGGCTGAGAGAGAAAGAGGAACTTTCCAGAGTTCACATAGTTAATGTGTGCCTAGGCCAAGAGTCAAACAAGGCCTTCTGGCTCCAGATTTCCATTACATGACAGAGCCTTGCTAGAGAGAATGAGGATTTTATGTGGGCAATTTCAGGGTGCTTATGCCTTTCTCAATCAACAATTGTTCACCTGGCACATAGCTTGTTCTCAGCCATATTGTCAAATACTTTCAATGAGGATGAACATGGCATTAAGGTCAGCTACTGCACTGGTAGTAAATTATTTAACTTGAAAAGGCTACAAGCCAACAATAAAGTGGAAGGAGAGTTGGTGCTCGACTTTTTGTTTGCAGATGATTGTGCACTCAGTGCAGCCTCTGAAGCTGAGATGCAACAAAGCATGGATCAATTCTCTGCTGCTTGTGCTAATTTTGACCTAACAATTAACGCCAAGAAGACACAGGCTCTCCATCAGCCAGCACCACACCATCCATGTGTGGAACCATTGGTTACAACAAATGGAGAAGTCTTGGATGCTGTGGATAAATTCACTTACCTTGGCAGTGTACCTTTCAGGAATGTACACACAGATGATGAGGTCGATGCACACGTTACCAGAGCTAGCTCAGTGTTTGGGAGGCTCCAAAGGAAAGTGTGGGAGAGAAGAGGTATTAGACTGCCTACCAAACTGAAGATCTACAGAGCCATTGTGCTGACCTCATTATTGCATGCCTGTGAAACCTGGCCAGCATACTGGCGCCATGCCAGCAAACTGAATCGCTTCCATTTGAATTGTCTTAGGAAGATTCTGAAGCTCACCTGGCGGGAGAAGGCACCAGACACTGAGGTCCTTTTTCGAACTAAACTGACAAGCATTCAGACTCTGCTACAGAGAGCACAACTTCCACGGGCTGGCCATGTTGTTCAAATGCCAAATGTGCACTTGCCAAAAAGACTATTTTATGGACCATTCACACAGGGTAAGTGCTCACATGGTGGTCAGAAGAAGCAATAAAGGACACTCTCAAGGTCTCTCTGAAGAACTTTGGAGTTGATTGTATAACCCAGGAGACGCTGGCACAGGACCACTAAGCATGCCACCCCTCATCAGAGAAGATGCTGGGTGGTATGAGCAAAGCAGAATTGCAGCAGCTCAAAAGAAACGCGAAATGAGCACATTTGAGAATCTGCCCCAAATGTTCACATGGATTATTTGTGTCTGACCTGTGGTACGGCCTTCTGGGCTCATACTGGTCTGAGCAACCACAGTCAGGACACACAGAAGGGCACACTATGACCCTGACATAGTGATGTCATTTTGGTCCTTCCAAGAATGAAGGATAGCCCAGCCTCAGACACTTGACGCTTACTAGCTGTGTGACCCTGAGCAAGTCACTTAACCCTGATTGCCTCAACAAAAAGAAAAAAAAAAATGAAGGATAACAACCAGCTGACGGTCTTCAGTTCCTGACTCCCCCTCACCCAGGACTTGTAATATTTTTATTTTTGTAATTATTATTATTAATTTATAATTTAATTTATTATTAAAATTTTCCTGCCATCCATCTGGGTCCCCAGTGTGGAGAGCTGAAGACAGGATGTAGGTGAGAGGCAGCTCTCACCCTAGAGCGGAAAGGCCAGGGGCAGCATAGAAGCCACCCAAAGACACCTGCTTGGAGCATAATGCTGTGGAGTAACCCCAGCTCAGGAGCTAATGATCCTGGGTTCAGATCCCACCACCTCTGATGCTTACTGCTTGTGTGACCTTGGGCAGGGTCACTGACCTTCCTGGGCTTCAATGTCCTTACTTGTAAAGTGTAGAGTTGGGGTGAGTGGCCTCTGAGATCCCTTCCAGCCCAGAATCTACAATCTTCTGGTCAAATTGTCAGTTGAGGCATGATGAGACCCTTCCCAGACCAGATCTGTGCATGTGATTCTGTGATTATAGGGCCACAACTTTAAAGGGGCCTGTTTAACTGGAGGCCTCCACCTCCACCACCTTGATGTCTCCCAGTTGCTAAGCCCTCCCTTCTCTTCTCTGTCTCCATTTCCCCTCCCCCCAAATATATCTTTAGCGAGCAGTCCCTCCAACCGTTTAGATTGAAACCTGTGCAGCTAGATGGTGCAGTGGATAGAGCACCAGCCCTGGAGTTAGGAAGACCTGAGTTCAAATCCAGCCACAGACACTTACCAGCTGTGTGACCTTGGGCAAGTCACTTAACCCCAATGGCCTCCACAAACAAAAAAGAGTCACATAGCATGTCCATCTCTGACTATAAAGGATGCTGGGAGCCTTGGCATAGGTGGGGAATAAGCCCCCAGGTTCCTTGCTGGTTTCCCCTACTTCAATCCTTCCTACTCTGCTGCCCAAGTTGCTCTTTAAATGGTCAGTTCTTATCAGGCTCCTCCCCTGCCCTCCCTTTGCCTGCCTCCAAAGTCCAGGTTCCCTAGCCTGGCATTTGAGATCCTCTGAAATCTGCCCCCATCCTGCCTTTTCAGCCTCATCTCACAGGGGTGCACGCTGCCACACCAGCTCACTAAGCAGCTTGCCCTCTCCTGATCACGACAGGGTACACTGGAAGGGGAATGATGATGATGACGATGATAGCAACAAGAAACAACCCAAACTTTCAAGTTTTCAAAGCTCTCTACAAATGGCATCTCATTAACACTCACTATATTATCCCATTTGATCCTCACAACACTACTGAGAGGCAGGTAATCCTGCCATGATTATCCCCATTTTACAGATGAGCAAACTAAGGCAGCCAGAGGTTAAGACTTGCCCATTAAGTGTCTAAGGCTGGATTTGAACACAAGTCTTCCTGACTCCAGGCCCAGCGCTCTGTCCACTGACAGTGCTTACCACCTATGTGACCTTAGGCAAATCATGTTATGTCTCTGGCCTTCAGTTTTCCTCATCTTTAAAAAAAGAGGCTGGCGCTAAATTCTATGGCAGTTAGCACAGAGGATACATAACATAAGCACTGCATATGGTGTGTGCTCACTAAATACTTCTTAAATAATACCGATTCTTTTATCTGAGTTAGTGATTACTTCAATAGAGGGAACTCCAAGTCTGGAAATTCTCCCACTCTCAAAGAGCTGTCCAGGGTACTGAACTGTCAGTACTCAGCCGGTATGCCTGGGAGGCAGGGGTTGAACCCAGGTCTTCTTGAATCCAAGGTTGATCTGCCATTCAATACATCAGTACATCACCTAGAGGGCATTTAAAGGCACCTTGGGGTGTCCAGGGGAGAGGGCAAGGTGGGAGGAGGGGCGCGGCAATCAGGGAGCAGGCTATAACCTAGGCCGCTAGGTGGCGCAGTGGACAGAGAGCTGGACCTAGTGTCAGAAAGACCTAATTCCTGGGGAAGTCTTGCTCCCTCTGGCCAGCCTCAGTTTCTTCATCTGGATAATGGAAATGATAGTAGCATCTACCTCCCACGGAGAAGGTAAAGGATGGCAGGGGTACAGTCAGAGGGCTCTAGCACTACCTTCAGAATATGTTGAGATACCAAGGAAGGCTTCCAGCATGGTGGGTGAACCCCACAAGACTATTTAATAGGAGGAGATGTACCTTAGTGGTTTGATCCGTTAGGCATTTATTAAGCATTTGCCGTGTGCTCATCACTGGAGATTCAAATACGACAAAAAATAAAATAGTCTCTGCCCTCAAAGGAGCTAACTTTCTCATGGGGAAGACAATAATAATAATAATAAACATTTATGTAGTGCTTACTGTATGCCAGACATTGTGCTAAGCACTTCATAGTTATTACCGCATCTGGTCCTCACAACAATCCTGGAAGGCAGATGCTATTATTATCCCCATTTTTACAGATGAGGAAATTGAGGCTTGCCCAGGACTACACACTAAGGCTGGACTTGAATTCAGGTCTTCTTGACTCCAGGCCCAGTGATGTATCTGCTGTGACACCAGCTGCCCCCATACAAAAAAAAAAGGCCAATGAAAAGGGATTGGGGGTGGGGGGCATGGAGAGAAGTTCCCACAGGAGGCTGTCCTGTCTCCTGAGAAAAATAATTATTTTTGTCTCATATTAATATCCAATTATTAAAACTGGGGAAGCCCAAGCTTTTTTTTTTTTTCCTATCCTGTTTCCTTGTCCATTCTCTCAAGGGCTACAGGGCTGATGGAAGATAGGATTGACATTCTCCTCATTCTGGGTATTGCTACTCCACCCAACCAGCTCAGGCTTGGGTGGAGGATATAGATTCTTTGTCAAGATTGCCCAAGGCTGAGGTTTGTCTGAGTATAAGGATAGTCTCTCTGGCCAAGAGTGACATGATGTCACTCTCAGCTCTTCATTGGAGTGAGCTCACTTCTCTTTGTAACATAACTAATCAGAGTAGATTACCACCCTCTTCCAAAGGGCATATAAGCTGTGAGCCCACCACCATGATGGTCTTTGGTCTAAGAGAGAGACAGCCAAATGGCCATGCTTTTATTAATAAATACGCTGGCATTATTAGTGAAATGATTAAATTATACAGAAATTACATCTCTCAAACTTTATAAACATCACACTTCTACTGAAGTAATACCCAGGATACTCCCAGGAACTTACTGGTGAGCTCATATCCTCACTCTTTTATTCGACTACAAAAGGCAT